CCCCACCCCACCCTGGCTGGACAGCACCAGCCCGAGACTCTGCTCCTCTCCTCCCTCACCACCGGGGGGACTGATCTTCCCCCCACGTCCCTTCCCTTCCCCGCCTTCCACCACAACAGACTTACCAGCTGCACACAGCTCTTCAAGCTGCCAGCCTGTGCTGCTCCGTACCTACGTGCTGCGCTGTGGCTGCACACACGCACAGGCATTTATCGGCCAAATTATCAGCCTTGTCAGGCCAATTTCCAATACAATTAATTTTCTTTATATTGGTGCCAATCTGATATCGGAACAATATCAGTGCACCTCTACCTATAACCCAACACCTATGTACTTAGTGTTGCAACATACCAAACAGGCATTCCATATATTAAAAGATACTGCATTAAAAACAACAACAAAAAACTGATTTTTGTTAAACATACTTATATTATCAAAAGAGTCACTGTCTTCAGATCAGAAGGGATATGATATTCAATTTCTTATAATCTTTGAGTAAATGTTCTTTCAAATGTATTTAGAAGCAAGCTTGCACTTATTTTTCTTCAGGAAAGTAAAAGACAGTTTTTATCATGTCTAGAAAAAGAGGTTTTCCAAATATCTCATGTCTGATTTCATTGAAAGTTTCAACAAACAATCAGTGCATGTACTCATCTGCAACCACCTGAGGCACTTCATGTGTATAAACTACACAAATCAGATGAAAACATTCAGTAAATAAACCCTGCATGGTACGACAGGACAGAACAACGCTACCAGAGTTTTGATACACCTTGATCTTTCTTATCTTTGAGTGGTACTGGTAATAGTAAGCTGTTATTTTTTTACTGCTGCTGAAGCCCAAGACAAACTTCTCTTACCCCAAATGGCGGATACGAAGCAGCAGCAGCAGCAGATGCAACACTCACTGCAGGAGGTGGTATTCCTGAAGAAGAAGGTGGGAACAGACCCAAGGCATTCAGATTTAATCCAGGAATTAAATGTGCTTGAAGCTGGAAAGGCAGAAGGAATTATTCAGTTTTTCAATACAAGTTAGTTAACTCAATCAAAATACTATTTAGAATAGTATACTGAAAGTCTTTTGAAAAGATGCCAATTTTTCTCTTAAATCTTTATTCTTGAGGACTCAAGATTTCAAACTTATAACCCAATATATTAACTTAGGCAGATAGTCCTAAAAGTTTGGTTCTAATATGAACAGAGAAATGAGTCATTCACTGTGACTATCTTTCTGTGAAGTGTACCATAAGACAGAAGGGGAAACAGCCACATATTAGGCCAACCTCCCATATTCAGAATGAGGTGCAGTACAAAGACAGTAGCCACTATGCTTTATGCTAGAAAACCAACCATCTTTTAAAACAGTGAGGGCCAACCTTTCGGTAGGTGTCCCTATATTAGCTGTGCATCCTCTCCAAATGCCACTCTAATCCTCTTCCTGGTCCAGTCTGGTGCTCTGCTTTCTGCTCCCTGCCTGATCTGCTCTTCTGCTATCTGCCCCAGCTGTCACTGCTGCCTCTCCTGCTCTCCTATTTATTGCATGCCACACACAGAGGTTGCCTGTGCCACTTGTAGTACACATGTTGGATGTTGGCCACCTCTGTCTTAGGACTAAGTGGCTTCGTCCCAAGAGTGGATGCAGAGGGATGTGGCAGTGCTGATGTACACCCCGGCTGCTGCTGTCCCCAGCTGATCCAGGCACAGGGGGAGCCCCAAAGCTCCCCACAAGGTGCCAGGCTCAGCAGGGGACAGCAGAGGAGGTAAGCGGGTTCCTCCTTCCAGCACTTGCTCCCTGCCTGCCTGCCTGCCAGTGCCCTGCTTCCTCCCTACTGGCCAGGAACAGGCAGTGGAAGGAAGAACAGGCACGCTGCCACTGCTGTCCCCAGCTGACACAGGCATGAGGGAGCCCCAGTGCTGCTCCAGCCCCACACTTGAGGGAATGGCTGTATGGGAAGCCAGACTTGGCTGAGGACAGCAGCAGTAGTTCACAGATTCATCCTTCCAGCACCTGCTTCTGGCCAGCGGGGGACACCATGAGGAGGACAGATAGAGGATGTTTTGGAAGTACAAGATGGAAGAAAGAAACTATGTCCTAATGTCGCTGTCCCCAGCCGAGCCTGGCACCCCATACAGTTGCTCCCCACGGCCCACAGCTGAAGCAAAGCAGGATTGACCCCTTGCCCCTAGGTAGCCCAGGGATAACAGAAGTTATGTCAATGTGTGTGGGGGGAGGGGGACAGGACAGTGTGTGTGTTCCCTTCCCCACCTTGTGAACCAACTCCCTTGCTCAGCTCCCTAGTGTCCTCTGCTGACCTAGGGGATTCAGCCATGTCCCCATGATCTGAGGGGCAGTGTGCAACATCCTGCTTCAGGAAATGCTGAATGCATCTGTCCTGAATCATGCCTCTTTCAAGGGAAAGTTCTACCTTAGGATTCCCTCAGAAGAAGCCTCATTCAATTTCCCTCTCCTGAAGGGCCCCCCTGAAGCCTGATTTAGTGTGGCTTCAAAAGGGTCAAACCTCTGGCTCAAGATCCTAGCTATTATGTCCAGCAATCTGTAGCACTCCTGCCTTGATGAGCTCAAAATATACAATTTAATACACACACCTCCCCACCCCAACATGTTTAAGGAGAATAGTATCAGGAAACTGCAAACCTCTTCTTTAAGGACAAATGGGCTCCATCCCAGGATGGATCCAGGGGGGTGCAGTGGTGAAGATGTACTCCCCTTCTGCTGCTGCTGTCCCCAGCTGATCCGGGAACTTGCCACACATTCATTTAAAGGCACTGTTGGATTTGATTCCTGATTCTGGCAATCACGTTTCCTGCCACGCTACGCATGCATTGCAGCTGATTGCTGTCCCTGGCCATGAACTGTACCAGGGCCTGTTTGAGATCCTGGTGTGGCCCCATGGCTGGAGCTGACAATTGACCAATTGTCAGCCCTGCTCAGACCTGCACTACGTTCAACTTAAAGCATCATACAAACAGCCATAACAATGTTTGACTTTATATGTAGATTCATAGATGTTAGGGTTGGAAGGGACCTCTATAGATCGAGTCCAACCCCCTGCATAGGCAGAAAAGAGTGCTGGGTTCAGATGACCCCAGCCACATGCTCATCCAATCTCCTCTTGAAGATCCCCAGGGTAGGGAGCCCATTCCAGATTTTGGCCACTCTAACTGTGGAGAAGTTCCTCCTAATGTCCAAAATAAATCTGCTCTCTGCTAGCTTATGGCCATTATTTCTTGCGACCCCCAGGGGTGCCTTGTTGAGTAGGGCCTCACCAATTCCCTTCTGCACCCCCATGATGAATTTATAGGCAGCCACAAGGTCACCTCTCAACCTTCTCTTGCGGAGGCTGAAAAGGTCCAGGTGCCCTAGTCTCTTCTCGTAGGGCTTGGCCTGCAAGCCCTTAACCATATGAGTGGCCCTTCTCCAGACCCTCTCCAGGTTATCCATATCCCTCTTGAAGTGTGGCACAAGACTGCATGCAGTATTCCAACTGCAGTCTGACCAGCATCCGATAGAGGGGAAGTATCACCTCCTTGGTTCAGTTTGTCATGCATCTGCTGATGCATGATAAAGTGTAGTTAGCTTTTCTGATTAGTTCGTCACACTGACGACTCATGTTCATCTTGGAGTCCACTAGGACTCCAAGATCCCTTTCAGCTTCCGTGCTATTGAGATTTTTATGTAAAACATTTTTATGGCTGATCTGCCATTTTATGGTGCCTTAAATTGGGTACAGTGTAGTACCCTGGCCATTTATGCCACAACTAATCGTGGCATAAATGTAATATGTAGAGGAAATTCTAGTGATACAATTTTTTTAAAATACTTTCACATTTCCACAACAGGAAAAGGAGAGAAATTCTCATTTAGTTCCTCAAGATAGTAACAAATTATCTCAATTTCTCATTACACATGAGATAAATAAATGCAGACATCAGGACCCGTACAGAAAATGCTTCCAAAAATGACCATGCCATTACAGAACTCACATTCATAGCAGCAATATCATTTTCATAGGACTCCCTGATTTTCTTCATTATTTCTTCCTCAGCCTTGGCACAGGTTTCAATACTGCCTTTAACTGTAATAGTCCGCTCTGGGTTATAGAGTGTCAAATCCTGTAATCTAGGAACAAAACACAAGTACAGTTAATTACACTCCAAACAGCAGATGTTAATCAAGGCTTATCAGTGGAAGCCAGTGACATCTGAAAGTGTCAGGTTTGCCTACCAGCAATGGACTGTACAAGATCAATTTACAACAGAACTCTAAGGGCCTTGTTACACAGTAATGTTGGGCAGCTCCTGGAGCTCTTAACCCCTGGATTGTCTGCACCTTAAAGTAGTGTTAAGCACTCATTATGTGGGTCAAAGTTATGCCGCTCCAAGTTATGCCGATCAGATTATCTCTGATCCACACTACCTAGCTCCTGTTCCATTAAGGTGTGGCCACTCCCCACAGATGTGCCACCCAAGCTGAAGCCCTCCCAGGATCCCTCACACCACCCATAAAGCAGGGATAGAAGCCTGTCCTGGCTCACCAACCCTCCAGACGTAACTCACAACTATAGCTCCTAGTCCTGCCCCTGCTCCCCAGGCCTCTAGTGGCAAGTCACAGCTGTGCAGGTGGGGGACAGTCAGAGAAGCAGTCAGTGACTGCTCCAAACTCCAGCTACACTAACACCAATCAACATTTGTGCAGCTCACAGTGTAAGGTGTAACAAGATGATTCACAGAAAACTGAAATGGGATTAGTGCAATGTTTCAGATGGCTGAGATGCACTTGGAATTAACATATTTAAACAAATTTCTTACAAATAGATTATAATGAATGGAACACTTGAAAATGAACTGCAAACCTTTATGGCAATTTGAGCAGCACACAGATTTCTGATACATTATAGGGTGCCTTCAGATACCTGGAAATGCAGTGGGGTCTTTCATGAAGAAAAAGAGTGGGAAAAGAAAACTTACAGACCACCATACACTTTGTTTCCTCTTTGATATTTGCAAGCAATTAGATCACTTGAAATGAGATGTATTGCAGCCAGAAGTCAATCATTATGCTTCACTATGAAACATATTTCAACCTATAATACTTTGACATGGCAGACAGAGATCAGAATTTGTTAACCACTACTGGAAACCATAAGGCTCTCATTGTCTTGCATTTCAGCCTTAAGATGCACCTTATTTATTCACACACCACTCTCCCCAGAAAAAGTAGTCATCAAAAATTGGGGTGCATGTCTTAAATGAGAAAAACAATTCTGAATAGTTTGGTTAAACAAAAAACCTTTTTTCTTCATCCTGCCTTCCCAAAAAAGGTGCATGTCTTATTTATGAGTGTATGGTAATACACCAAACTTGCATAACCATACTTCTGCCTGTCAGAGATCATTGACAGGTTAAACCAGAAACTTACGGAGATATTGTGATTTTAGTATCTGTATCTTGTTCAATTTTCTTCAGGTTTCTTCCTTCTTTGCCAATAAGCCGGCCAACAAAATTGTTATGTGCTAATATCTTCAAGGGAATTTCTTCTGTACTGTAATAAAAGTTAGATTAATTCAGACATATGTCCACAATTAAAAAAGCAACTGGAAAAGGTATGGTTTTAAATGCAAAAAGTCATTAAAGGAAAACTCTAGTTTTTCTTTCAATACTTAAGACCATTACATATTTATTAACAGACTAAAAAGGAGGTTTCTAATGTTTTTCATTGTCTACTCTGGGGGGGGGTGTCAACCAGGAGTATGTGTACCCATAAGGGTACTTGGAAAGGTGATATGGGGTATATGTGCAGGTGGGTATGAGGGCAGCGACGCCCCCCTGCAGACTGATGTGGAGCAGAGGGGCTCACATGCAGCAGCGGCCACTGCCTCCCACTGTCCCGTGCTGCTGTCTCCCAGAAGCAGGGCCGGGGTGGGAGGGGTGAGGGCAGTGGCACCCCTCTGCGGGCTGCACAGGCTCTGCCCGGCCAGCAGCTCAACAGGCTGCTGATGGGCAGTGCGACTGGCCACGCACAAGGCCAGTCAGCAGCCCATGGAGCTGCACATGTGACTGGCTATGGGAAAGTGGGGCACAGCAGCAGCATGGGGCAATGGGTGGTGGATGCTGTGTGTGAGCACCCCCCCACCTCAACCACCACATATGAGCATCACCCCCTCTCCCCCAGATGGGGTTCACTTATTCAAAAACGTTGAAAGCCCTTGGTCTACTCCATTAAAGTGACTGGGGCCATTTTAACGGGATTTAAGCTTTAGTGTTGTATCTGTGAATCATTGTTAATCTACTCATAAAGGAAAAATGAAAGAATTACAAGAGGAAATTGCAAAAATTACAAGAGGAAATTACTTTTTTTCTTTTTTAACCACTTTTAAGATTACCCAGAAAAATTCATGACCGAGATTTGAGTTAAGAAGAAAATTAAGTCTGCACATCCAGGCTGAAGTTAGGTCACGTAAAATAGGTGTTACAAAATTAAACAAAATTTTAGAGGCACAATATCTTTAAAGTAAACACACAAATTACTTCAGAAATGGAAACTAAGTTGTTTAATTAACTTAGTATATCTTAATTAGGGGTGTACTGATAAAGATTTTTTTGAGTCAATACCGACAGATGATTATTGACCAGCCATATTGGCCAATACTGATCCGATTGCCAATATCAGCCTGGCAGCACAGAGAGCAGTGTCCAGCTGGTAAGTCTGTTGGGAGGAAGGGGCATGGGGAGGGAAGAGGTATGTGAGGGAGGTGAGGGAGGGAGTGGGGCTGGGGCAAGTGCTGCACAGCCAGGGCAGGATGTGACACAAAGCTGTGGATGGTTTGTCCAGAGGGTGCAGGAGGGCAGCTCCCACCACTGCACACACCCCAGAGGAGGTATGGGAGACATGTGCTCCCCGGATCTGTGCACGGGGCAAGGGCAGGCTATTGCTGTGGGCTGGGCTGAGGCTGAACTCAGGCTGGGCAGGGTAGGTGGCAGCAGCACTGGGAGGGTGGGCTATGGGGCAGGCTACAGACATCCCAAAATTCAGTCACCCCACAGACACCCCCTCCCAGTGCCACCGCTGCCTGCCCTGAGCACAACCCCGGGCCAGGCCCCTGCTGGGAAGAGGCCGGTGCAGCCCCAGCCCTAAGTACACAGCAGGCAGCCTGATGCAGCCGCGCATATGTACTCAGCATTTATCAGCAACGTTATCAGCCACATCAGTCAAAAAAAGTCGACTGCCAATAATGTCCATTTTCCCTTATCAGTGCCGATATGATATGGACCGAAGTATTGGTGCACCTGTAATCTTAATCTTTCTTTGCGGATAGATTTTTATGTGATGTGCAAATTCTGCCCTCAGATACAAGGGCCTAACTTCCACTTAGTTATACCTCACTACTTGAGAGTAGAAGCAGTGCACAAGACTTACTGCAATTCATTCTCTGAATAAATACTACAGACTCAAGGTGCTGGAGTATTGCTGTTAACAACTGCGATGCCCAGAAATGTTGTTGAATTATCCAAATTATCCCAACCAAAATGCACAACCAAGGGCTAGAAATGCATGGGGTTTTTTAAGCTGTGTAAGTAGGCTGGTACCAAATATAAAAATGAAGTTCCTTAAACTTTACATTCAGTGCTGTTACAAGACATGTAAGATTCACCTTTACCTATTCCAAACAGAAGATTTGGAATTAATGTCGTAATTAAACACCCTTTTACTCACAATTTAGTATCCTGAGCTTCTTTTTGCATGATCTCCATGATAATTTTACAAGCTGTTGAGCAGCCCTCAGGAGTAGAGTGGATGGTAATTGGTTTCTCTGCAGCACCTGCATTTTCTTTGCGATGAATATCAATTCTTTAAGGAAAGAAAACCATTATATGTAAGCATTTATTTACTGTGTGAATATTTTTAGATAAAGTAATGCCAATTATAATTCCAATTTATTTTGCACTAACAAAAGATGGATTCCAAAGAAACAAGGTGAACTGTATAAGTGATTATTAAAAACTATGAACTTTCACTGTAACATTATCTATCTTTTAATAAAACAGGATACATATTCCAATTCTGCTGATTGAGGCTTAACGATTTAGCAAGTGGACTTTCCCTGTACCACCAAATTCTATCCCAAATATTTTTAACATTTTATATAAACTAATAAAAGAATCCTTAAGTCAGCAGAGGGATGTAGCATTCCAGCCCTCTTGTTCCTTGTCTACCCATGATCTAAAAAATTAGAAAAAAAAAAGATGTTAAATCATCTAATCCCACAGCTCCCAATAAATGACTGTTTGCTACAAGATGAGAAGGGATTGGGCAAAGCTAGTTTTTCACATCTCCAGTAACAGAGATTTCTAGTACTTCTCTTGAGAGACTTGTGTCTTCTCATGTCTGCCCTCCTTTTTCACTTTAGTTCTTGTTTCATGTTACTCTGTTTCTTCTTCAAAACCTTATTTCCCCAACATGAGGGTCTAGTTCTTCATGCTGAAAAAGGGTGAGTCCAATAATAACAAAACCTACTGCTGACCCGCAATGGTGTCACTACTAGAGTAGTGGTTCTCAACCCGCTCAGTCTCAGGGAACCTTTCAGAAAGTACCAACTCTCGGCTTTTAAGCATTTTTTGACTATTGCAATTTTCTGTTGCAAAGAACTCCAAAAGACTACCGGACTGGATATTTTGTACATTGTGGATTCCTATTTGAAATCTCCAAGTTTATCTTGCAAATTGTGTAGGCGTTCACATATCTAACAGTCTTAGTACTGCAATGCACCCTTAAAAGAATCTCGTGTCATCCTAATTGAGAATCACTGCACTAAAAACTTGGCCATTTTCAGCTTTCAAAAGACTTATTGCTTCCAGGCTCTCCTTACCTTTGTGCCAAAACTATGGTTGTTTGACATCTTTAAATAGGAGTTAACACACTTAAATTACCTGTGCTGCACTTCTCTAGAACTCCTTTGCATTTTACAGCATGCACTTCATTTAAAATGAGAACAAGAAACTTAGGTGACTATGTGCCCTTCTCCCCACTGAAGTCTGGTTAGATACCAAATTAAGATATGCTTGACCAATTTGTAAACATCCCTGTATTCTTAGTTATTCTTTTTTATTGTGAATCTGGATATTTTTCCTGACCACCTCCAGCCTTTTTCCACATCTTGTCTGCAGCACCTTCATTGTTTGGTTATGTGAGACTATATTATATTATACTAAGAACAAAAGATGAATAACTGATATGCTGGAAGAAATACTTTGTTTATACCTCAGCTTTCTTTTGAACATGTCCTCTCCGTTGAGACTTATATTTATTACCACAGTACTTCCCTTTAATGTTCAGACCCTACTGCTATAAGCTACCCAGGTCATTTAACAGCTTGGTTTTGGCTTCCATACATTTCCCTAACTCTGTTATGATATGGTATGTAACTTCAACTGCAGCAGAACTGATTGACAAGAATCACCCAAGAACAAGAGAAAACAAACTCTTCTGGCAGCATGCGGTGCTCGGTGGGCAGGTGAGGCCGCTTCCACCCAGTGCCCCCTGTGGCACCTGGGAGACAGTCCAGTCCCATGGGCTCTAAGTGAGTCACACTCGAGCCCCAGTCTCTGCTGGTGGGCTAGTGCCCAGGGTCTGCAGGGCCAGAATGCATCTCCTAGGCATGACAGGGAATGCTTGGTAGAAGCTGCCCCGTCCACCTGCCTAGCACTGTGCAGCTGGCCCTGGGTAAACTACGGTTGGGCCCCAGCAGCTCCAGCTGCCATGCATTGGCAGGCAGGGCTGCTTCCACCCAGCATCCCCCACAACACCAGCAGAGGCCAGCCCCTGCCAGTGGCAGATGGACCCTAGCCATGGGCCTCCACACTCTCACCCTGCCCTGCCATCAGGGTGCCTGAAAGCTTTGAGGGTGGGGAAGAGATGGTGTGTATGTGTACCAGGACCCCTGAGGAAAGGGCAGAGCAGGGCAGTATGGAGGTCTGTGGCCAAGCTCCATCCCCTGCCCTCCCCTGCCCCCAGCTACAGATGCAGCTGGCAGGTGCTGATTCCATATTGGGGGAGAGGGGGAAGCTGGGCCATGCTATAGACCCAAACAGACTTATGCTCTTAGTTTCAGTTAGTAGGGTCAGAAGGGAACTGATCAGATCATCAAGTCTGACCCCCTGCCATGGCAGGAAAGAGTACTGGGGTCAAACGACCCCAGCAAGGTGTTCATCTAGCTTCCTTTTAAAGACCCCCAAGGTAGGAGCCAGCACCTCTTCGCTTGGAAGTTGGTTCCAGATCCTAGCCGCCCTGACAGTGAAGTAGCGCCTCCTGATGTCTAATCTAAGTTTACCCTCTGCCAGCTTGTGACTTATTTCTAGTCACTCCTGGTAGTGCTCGGGGGAACAGGGACTCCCCCAATGCCTGCTGGTGCCCTCTGACTAGTTTGTAACAGGCCAC